ATTGGTTGCAACTGTGTCCAGACAGCAGGTTTGTGGGAATCATTTGACCGTGTGCTATCGAAAACGCTTAATTTCCCGCAGTGACATATGATCATCTTCTTAGGTTCTGTATAAAACGACTTACTTGTGTTGAGTGGATTGTATGATCTCTTACTTTTTGGTTATCGGATACCCTGTTTGTTGCTGTTGCATTCCCTCATATCCGATTTCTTCCAAGTATCATCAAACCGTTGTCAATATTAACCCATGACAAGCAAACTCGCTCGTAATTGGAGAAATACGGCGTTTCATACCGCCCAGTAATGTGATCGTATGCGCAAAAATATGATCATTTATAGACAAACAGAGCTCGTCTACACTTTTTGTTTTACTTTGTATTTCTTCGTATACGATTATATTTCTCCGTGTACGGTTTGGAGATATACGAACCTCCAAAATGTGATTGTATACGAAGAAACTCGGAAGAAGAGGAAGAGGGGTTACTTCATTTTCTGATAAGCAGAAATCTTCAACTTATGTTACAGGGTGTCCCATAAGTTGTGGCAGATTTTTTAAATCTAATTTTTGATGATAATGAATACAAATAAAACTCAAACTTACACATATGATACGGCTTAACATGTACTTTTATTTCATATATTTTATTTGGAATAGATCATTGAATATACAAGAAAATGAACAAATTCAATGAACATACCCTCAATTGACAAATATCAAAAGTCTGCATTTTTTCGCTACTTTGTTAGTTTTTTCTCCAATTACTATTCCTATGGGAGTAAGTTTTTACAAAACAAATCACACATTCTGATAGCACTTGAAATTCTCTATGATATTATGCATTAATACAAAGTCTTAAATTTAAGTAGCAAAAAAAAATGCAAATTTGTTGGGCTAGTCGATTCGGAGTATATTCATTGTAGCCAATTTTATTTCAATCTATGAATGCAAGAAAATAAATAAATAGACAGAGTGATAGAGAATTTTAAGCTCTATCAGAATCTATAGTTACTTTCTCAGAAAGATCATTCTATACGGCTGAAATTTTTTAAAACTAGTTTTGGTCACGAAGAAAAGATCAAGTCCGGGAATCTGGACATGAGGGTGCCTTCGTTGTCTTCAATTTATTTTGGTAATGAAAAGGTCAAAACTAAAACCTAATTCTACAGAGTGATAGAAAACTCCGCGGGCTTTCAGAATATGTAATTAGTTTCAAAATAACTTATTTTTATAGTGACAATATATGAGAAATACAGAGTGAAACTTTTTTGTTGGGGTATATATATATTGTAACACATTGATGGTGTGCTTATTCTGCACATGTACCAATTTCTTTATTTTTTTGTATATCCAATGATTTAATCCAAATAAAATATGTGAAATAAAAGTACATGTTAAGTTGTATGATACGTGTAAGTTTGAGTTTGATTTGTATTCATTATCATCAAAAATTAGATTTAAAAAAATCTGCCACAACTTATGGGACACCCTGTATCATACTATCGGAAGCTATCTTGCCGAACAAATCCCATTGAATCTGACAGAATTCTAGACTGAGTCTAGTCATCCTAGGAACTCTTTGCTTTGAAGCATGCACTACGCTACGAGTTACCTATCCATTGTTAGATTCATATCACAAGCTTCTCTGAGGCTGAAAAAAATGGTCAAGAAACATGAGCTCGAGATTACAATTTTATATGTCGATCATAACCAGAAAAACATGTTAAGATCGTGAGAGAATGACGATTTCATATTCGAAACATAATTGAGTGCTTTTGCTTCCGCTAGAGAACTACAAAAATTGGGTTCCGATTATGGATATATAATATCACTGAAGTTGATCACTAAAATCATATACTATAGCTTCCTTATCTATGCAACTTCACTGATCAGCACATCAGTTTGTTATGTGATATTTTTGTATGATACCGTAACAATAATCAATATATTCATGAATATTTTTGTCAACGACCTGCTTCTTCGCGAGAAAAGAGGAAAGGTGGATTTTTTCGAAAAAAGAAACTAAAAAGAGGAATTTTAAAAGAATAGAAGAAAAGGAGGAAAAAGTGGTGGAGTGGGATGCCAGCTCAAAGCTGCTAAAATGATCATAATATTATAATAGATTTATCTATTTAGAAATATTTTTTTTAAGGGGGGACTTAACCCCCCTAAGGTACTAATTTTTCAGCCATTTTGTAGAGCAAATGAAACTGCATATATCCTGAAATTTTCATGGAGGACGGACGTGTTTTGAGAGAGTTATGACTTTCACAAGTTATGAGCCTTTATGCGTTTCCCGCCAATATAGCATTTCAAAAAATTTTCGAATACAAGATTTTGATCCGGTTTTTAAGCAGTTTGATAGAGCAACAAAAGTTGTACATATCATGAATTTTTTGCGATTATTGAATGAATATTCTCAGAGAAATGATGATTTTCCTAAAAAGTACATTTTGCAATGTTTGACAGTATTTTGTAAAAACCTTGCCTGCAATCTCAGAACCACAACCCGTTACAATAAAATTTTGTTAGGGTGTGGGTGTGGGTGTGGGTGTGGGTGGGTGTGGGTGTGCTTAGAACACAACCACATCCACATCCCACACCCACACCCACACTCACACCTACCAACACCCACACCCACACTCACACCTACCAACACCCACACCCACACTCACACCTACCAACACCCACGCCCACACTCACACCTACCAACACCCACACCCACA